TATTACTACGTCACCAACATTCATTTTCTCGGCCTCAAGACTACCCAGACTACGCAGCCTCGATTGCGGAGAAGCCAGAAGGAAAATCAGCAGTGTGCATGAAAGCTCCCACCAACACCCCTCTCGGTAAACGCCACGGGCCCAACCTCAAGCTTCCGTTCAAGTTGGTGTGTCGGGGTCGGAGCGTCCCTTCCACCGTCACCGTGCTGTTCCACTAGCACACGCCACAAGCTCGCGGGGTGGCAACATCATAGCGACTGTCCATGCGTATATCCTCCGATGCAAAAACTATGTGGTGGTGTATGCGCATGGATAGATGTGTTTATGCGCATGAGTGTAGGGTGCGTCATAGGGTGTGTTTTTGTGCTTTTCGTAACTCATGGGAATGTGGGATCGAGATCTCAAAGATGTTGTTGGTAAATGATGTAATGTGTTAACAACAAGTGTAAGACACGCAAGATGGACAGAGACATGCGAATTGGTATTGTCAAGCCCTTGTATTGCTTGAATCTCATCACTCTGGCTGGTGCATCTTTTGCAACCTTAGACTACTCAACAGGCATTCAATCATGTTTTCGTGACAAGTGGGTTTTGTTTCGAATGGAAGTTTATCCCGTTGAAATGGACAAAGTGGTTGTGATTCCCATGGCCTGTGGTGATTTGGAAGGGAATACCTCGGAAAACCATGTATCGACCCGTTGCGAGTTTTGAGAAGTCTGGAGGCAGGCAAGTGCGAGCGCACACATCTTCAGAGTCGAAATGAATTTTAATAAGTTGTCGGAGCAGACGAGGCAGCAACATGAGTTCTTCAATCGTCCTTTTTGATAAAGTCGGCTGCACGAGGAGTGATGAGAAGGAAAGCCGTTGGAGAGTGGGAGGTATTTATACCCCAGAGATCTTCACACCAGCCCATCATCGATTTCCTTTCGAACTTGAGACCTCCTCGTAGGAGTATCTCGACTACGGTAGTTCGACCACGGAAAGAGTCGTCGGCTGGTCGCATTACTGTTTTGGTGGACTTCGTCTCGCGAAGACATAGCACTTGGCTGGAACTTGTTGAGTCTGGACATCCCGCACGTCTTTTCACTCAATCCATGACATGGATCTCTAGGTTGCGTTTTTTAACTTGGTGAAAGCAACTCAAAAACATGGTATTTCTATGAGACAGGCTGCGCTTGTGGTCGACACACTGGACACATCAGAACTCCGCTCCGGCGTTTTGGCAAGCTTTCCAAGAATGAAAAACATCAGCTCTATGCCTTTCGTTTTAGGAAAGAATGGTAGCAGATGGTGTATTGAAGTAGATAGAAGAGGTTGGGTACCAAGTTTATATACCAGCTCGTCAACGCTAGTGCTCATAAGTCGTCTATATCATAGTTTTGGAAGATTGGAATGCCCGCAGCATCTTCTCTCCTGCCAGAGAACATGGTCGGCTAGTTTCCGGTTTTTAGAGACAGTCGAAACCAGCCAGAAGTCATGGAGGATTTGGATTGCAATTTTTCGTGCTGTCCACTCGAGAGGCCACATGAAACGCCTCAATCATGGTTTTGGAATTCCTCCCGGGAGAAGGACATGCAGTCTTTTCGATCGAACTTTGGAAGTGAGAATCTTTCAGTGGTATTGTAATGAACAGGAATGGGGAAAGGACTGGAACGGGTGGTTTTATATTGAAGCAGTCATTCTGGAGCCTTTTGAAGTCAAGCGATGGTCGAGACGCTCCCATAAATGCTGCATACGCCAGTTTTGATCTCTCAGGCGCGAAGGAACATGATCTCGAAGTCGGCAACTTTTGGAGAGAGATAGCAGAGACTGAGATACAAGAAGGATGTATTATTGAAGGAAAGGCTTTGTGCACCGAGAGGATGTTGCGCTAGCTGCATGTCGTTGACATGGTGATAAAGTATGTTGACTGGAGTACCCCATTTTGAACGCCATCTCATCTTAAACTCTTCGCGGTCGTGTTCGCAGTACGCAATGCTCGCTCATAATTGAACCTGTAACTCATATGTCCACAATGCTCATCTTCAAGACAAGACTACCTAGGTGCCAACTCACCCGCGTGACATACTCGATGACCCCCTTCCTCCCACCTCCACTCTTCCGATGTCACCCATCCAATCCAAAAGCCAGGTTCCCCCTCCCAACCCAGCCGTCTCCATGCAAACCACCGTCCCCATACCCTCGGACCTCGTCTTGACGTCGCATCGAAATGCCTCACTCAACCGCCACCCACTACCCATCATCTCCGACCCAAGACACCAATCGGAGTCCACGGCCCACCCCTCACACAAACCCGTTGCCTCACTTCCACCACCTGCCTCCACCGTACCACCTCGCACCTGTTACGCTCATATCTCGTGAAACCGTGACCGCCTTCGTGGACTCATGCATAACACCACACCAGAATTGATGGGCGATACGGAGTGAAGTGGCACGAGATCGTTTGTGTTACTATCGGTCAGGATCGCTGGGAATGGTGGGAAGCACTAGAGTGGGAGGCGCTTGAGCTGGCGTATATGCCGGAAGTAGTGAAACATGCGTCTTGTGTGTAAGTGTTTATGTGTAGGTGGTGCAATGTGTTTCGTCGTGTTGCTTTTGCTTTTTGGGGGTGGGTGGTGCGAGATATATTGCATGGTAGGACGAGATTTCGGGGGAGGGCTGAGCCACTCCGAGGAGCGATGGATTGTAAAAGGGTCATGACGATGTAACTGTAATTTCGTTAGTTGAGAGTGTAGTCGTTCCACGTAGTCGTGGTTCCATGAAATGAGTAGCTGTGACGTTTCGTTGATGCTCGCGATATGATTGACGCATCTAGAATGCTATTTGCTTGTGCTGTTAACCTTAGTGTAGCTGGATAGTTTGACTTTAGAGTGTCAACACCATAGCCAATAGCTTATACTACCGCGAAGTAAGATTTGGTAGGCCATGTGAGGTCCCTATAGAACCGATAGTGCTGTTAGTTGGCGCAAGGTGTTAGACGCTGACGCAGTATAACACTCGTTCGTACCACCGCATTGAGCTATCGTCGGTAGCATCCTTCCGTATGTTCAACGACACCAACGGCATCGGAGACATATACTCGCCGGAAAGCGGATTCGGAGACTTCTTCCCATCTAGCCTACGTCTTCGCCCACCGATAGTTCCTGTCTAGCAACGACAAAAATCCGCGCCGGTCTCCTTCTCGTACCTATATCAAACAAAGTATATGTAGCATTGCGCTTCACTCTGAGGATCAACTTACCCTACTCAACAGCTACACTCCGACCCCACCTTTTGCACAACCAACACCATCAACCATGACCGAATCCTCACCTACCAGACCTCCTCTTCCAGCGTTCGACCCGCAGAATTGTCAGACGTACGCAGCGAGTTGCCACTGCGGCAGCGTACAGTACTCGGTCTTGCTCTCGCCGCCGCTGGCCCAGTGGAAGGTTGTATCGTGCAACTGCAGCATCTGCACATGCAACGGCTACTTGCTCGTGTACCCCGAACGGTCGCAGCTACAAGTAAAGAGCGGTGAGGACATGTTGAGAGACTATTCCTTTGGTGTTAAGAGGGTTCTGCATAGGTTCTGTAGTAGGTGTGGGAGTGCAGTCTGGCTTGATCCTAGGATGGGCGAGTTTGGAGAAGCGCCGCCAGATCTGCTAGGGATGAATGTATGTGGTGTCCGTCCCGTGAGAGTGTCAACGCGGAGGGTTCGAGGCTAACCAGGGCAGGTTCGCATGTTCCATGGTGTTAAGGCGGAGGAGTTGGACATTGTCTATGTTGAGGATCGGAATCCATGAGGTTTAACACATGGGAGGATGTGCGGTATCAGAATCTACGCCGCGGGATAAACGAAGACATGCATGCTCTTGAGCGCGCAAGATTTTCTGCGCGAAGCGCAGCTAATCGCGATGTGCTCTGATCGAAGTGCATATAGCTTTACCAAATACCACAATATACCAAAGAGTGATGTATTGTGCTTTGAGTCTGGGTATCTTGTTTGCTATCTGGGTTCCCCCCCTCCCCTGTACACCCTGCCTTCCTTCTGCCTGTGTGATAGTGCACCAAATACTTGGATAATGAAAGTGTTTCACTTTTGCATGTTAGTATATCTGCGTGTATCTGAACATATCTGTGCATACCTGTGGTTTGATGAACGTCGGGAATGTCACCGACACTGAGCCTCCGGCAGCATTCAGTCCTTGACATACGTGCATCTGACCGCCGTTATCACGGCTGCGGCCCTGAACTCGAGGGGTCACCATATCTGTGGTGACATCTACTTACTTTAGCATACATTCATACATAGTGTGCACATATCACTTACCTCGCGGATGCGCGTTGTCGAGAGCTTTAGAAGTCAGATCGTGTACCTTGATGATGGCGGTGTGGATGATAATGAGTGAAGCCGCAATAGCGGCGAACTTGAGGGTGTTTTCTGATGGCATATTGATCGGTATAGATACACCCTGGTTGATTTAGATAGGTGGTGATATCGCGTGATGGGAAGTGAAGCTGGAGTGAAGTGTAAGAGTGAGAGAGTGAGGTTGCAAAAGGTGAAGGTTGTGTAGTTTGATATGCAGCGAGCTAGCAAACGGACGGTGAGCAAACGCCCGCGCTCACACCGTGTTCTTTGAGCATATGCATGAAGCAAAGAAACATGTTGCGGAGCTTCTGATATTTTGGAGAGAGGTAGCAGAGACTGAGATACAAGGAGAATACATTATCGAGGGAAAGGTTTTGTGCACTATGACAAGACGGGTGAAGGCCTCAATAGTGAAAATATGGAGAGTGCTTGCGGTGCAGGCATCGTCGCGTTCATACTCCGAAGACGACGCGCACTTGGTGATGGTGTTGATGAGGCAGGACGCAAAGTCCAGTGTCCAGGTGTTCGCCAATGCCAAGCCACTAACCTTCAGCCTCGGTGAAGTGATCCCTGCCACCATATCGCGATATCTCCATCATCGAAGCCTCCCAGATCTCTCAGCAATTGTTACCTGCAGCCGGCGGTCAGCATGTCACGAGCGCGCATTGTTCTCAATCGCGCACCTTTCAAACAATCCTGCCAATCCGCCAGCCGAACCTTCCGCTCCTCCAGCTACCATGCGCATCGCGATGTTCCCCTCCCCCTCCAATCCCGCATCCGCTGGTCATACTTCTGGTACGCCAGCATACTCGCCCTCGGCATCACGACTGGCCTAGGTGCTCGCCACTTTGCCGCGCCTCTCGGTCTTCCAGAGCCTGGGTCAAGAGAAGATGAAATCATCCTCGATTCTCTGCGGCGCGACATCGACGCTCTCGAAATCGTGCAATCCTTGCGCTCTCAGTCATACAACCTACATACCGACACAGCGCTCCGGTCAGGACCGGGAATAACGTCATCCCCTGGATCAAGTCGGAAGATATCAGCGTACAAAGGGTGGCTGGAGCTGGATCTGGACTTTGGAAGAGAAAATGAAGGCAAGAAAGGCATCTTGGGCGTCATGAGTGGCACGCGGGGATTGGGTGTACAAAGAGCATTCTGGAGTGCAGAGACAAGAGAGATGGTGGCTGTGGTCTGGATAGGAGGAGGAATGAGTGGGTGGCCCGGTGTTGCGCATGGCGGAGCTATCGCAACCATCTTTGAAGAGATCATGGCGAGGATGGTCAGAGGACCAGATGGCATTGTGGGTGTGTATACCGTCTCCAGCAACTCGGAGAGTGGCCTCATACTAACACTTAAGATAGAGCCAGTCCACCGTCCAGACTCCCTCAGCCTGACCTACGCCAAACCAACCTACAGCCTCGACTTCTACATCCTCCGTGCCTCCTTCTCGAAACCTGACCTCCCTCAATCCGAGCCGCCACCTGAACCTGAAGCGGAACCTACAAAGAGCTGGCTGGGATGGTTGTCGCCGCAGAAGGATCTGACGAAGAAGACCGACGCGTCGAGACATAAGCAGGAGATTGTTGCGACGCTGGAGAGCGTCGGTGGGGACCTTTGTGTCAAGGCTAAGGGCACGTTCAATGGAAGTAGCCCGGTTGTTTGAGGGGTTGCGGTGGCACCTCGTTGAAGAAGAAAAAACCTGAATACCCTGGCGCCTACGTTGACGTCAAATCATCTATTTTGAATGATTTTGTCTTGATGTAGGCTGCGGGCCTGTTCAGATCTCCTCGTACTAGTGATGAGATCAGGGAACGCCCCAGGTGGACGGAAGGGAGACTTGATGGGATACTTAAGAGTCGAGACGCAAGCTGAGATACCCAATAGCAAAATGATGAGACCAAACAGGTTACAAGAGATGTCACGATACCTGGGCTCGCGCATCTAACCAAGCAAGAAACTTGGCTCCATGTTGCAAAAAGAGATGGATGTTCGCTTGCATGGGCAAGAAGGAACAGAGCAAATCTCTCGCCCGGCATATGCTGCGCACCACATCAAGCACAATGAGAGCTACGAGTTCGACGATCTAATTTCAAAACCTGGGCAAAAAGAGCAAAAAACATACAACAGCGATTATTCGCGTGTGGTCACCCACCACGCTACTAATTCGCCGGTTAAAGGTTTGACGTGTGGAGAGCAAACGGGATCCGGTATACCCCTTTACCTGTGGTCGTATGTGAAGGAATGGGCAATCTTTTAGATTATGAACTCTTCCTCCAGCCTGTCTTTTATACCGCAAGTTGAGTACGATGACGAGCTCGGCTTTAACCTTGATCTGGACCCCGTAATGACCTGGATACAGACACAGTCTCACGTCTTGTTGACACGTTCACAGATGCTTCTAGTACCGGATACTCGCATATGGGGGCACCTTCACCACGGCTCCGCGCGCTAGACCGGCACTAACGCGGGTCAAAAAGCTTAGCGCGTGTACCTGCTGCTCCTACATCCTATGCGATGACCGTGTACTCAAGTCGGCACTGTAATGTTGATGAATTGACTGGAGGCGATGCGCGCATGTTCATTAAGACGGTTACTCCCGGAAGTGATTGCCAAATCAGGCGATCTGTGAATGGAATGAAGGTTGCGCTTGCTACCTCAGAACGTGCCCGGCTAGCGGCTGGTGGCTCTTGCTTCCATGCACCTCCAGCACCTGCCAGACCACCCGCGTGTATGCTTGCGTTGTTCAACTCACACTCACTGCCCTGCTGTTTGCACTCTTCACCTCTCTCCCGCTGCTGTTGCCTAGGCCTCTGCGATGCTGCGTCTGGTCGCCGCACTCCACATCTGCACCCCGACATCCTGATCCGACTATCCTCGCTCTTCCCAACATTCGTTTCCCGCATCACGGTCAATCACGAACTCCGGTCGGCCTACCGACGCCCCGAACCATACGCATACAAACGACAACAAGGCCTCGAGATCCGTTCCCATACGTCCAGGCGACATGTATCTACCACGGTGCGCCCAAGCTTTGTTGGCAGCTGGCCTGCTGCTATCCTCTCCGTCCGGCTCCGTCAACGTAGACGATGACGGTACATGGGTGGTTGGAATCATCGATGGCGACAAATGGCAAGTCAGAGACGACAGACAGCCATCTCTCTACACTGCCGACTATGGCGACTGCCTAGGCAAGAGCGCCATCAACGTTACACGGTTCGACGCAGCCTACTACAAAGACAACATGACCATCATCTTTCACCTGGAAGGCGAGACTGGGCTCCGAAGAGAAGACATTATGATGAATATCGGCGTTTATGCGTACGGCGAGAGTCGATTCGACCTGACCTTCAACCCTTGCGACGCCAACATACTCAGCGCTTGCCCCGTCAAAGCCGGCGTTCCCATCGAGGCGGCGGGCATCATACCGATCAATCAAGACGACGTCGCAGGGATCCCAGAGATTGCGTTGAGCATTCCCGACTTCGAAGGCCAGGCCATCCTGCGACTGTTCTCCAACTCCACACAGAACGAGGGTAAGTAGCCGCCACGAATAGCTCTCAAGATATCTTGCTAACTTATTACTAGTATGTAGCTCCCTTGCTATGCTTTGCCAACGTGGTGCTCAGACATCTTACTATTCGTATTCGTGCTAACAGCTTGACAGATCGGTTGTTTCGCGGCCCAGATCACCAACGGCTTCACATTCCAGCAGAAGAGCTCAGTGGGCTCAACGTTAGGGCTCTTCACTCTCATAGCCGTCGTTTCCTCTTTTACTACAGCCGCCTACGGATCCGACGTCCTCGAGATGCGCAAGCATTACGCCCATTCGCTGTCAGTGTCTGTGGTCTTCGCGGTATGGCACCACATCTTCTATAGCGGAGCGCTCTCGGTGAACTGGCCAAGCGTCCTCGTGGCCTTCTGGAGCAACTATGCCTGGGCTGGGGGTATGATCTACTCTGAGTCAATGCAGAACACGATCAACGATTTCATCGGCTCGAACAAAGGGAATACATCGCAAGTCGGTGCCGCAGGTACGGGCGAAAGTAATCCTCATCTAGGAGGAGGGGTCGACATTCACCAGATATACAAACGAGGCGTTCTTCCTCAGGGTCTGAATCTCCAAGCTGCCCTAGCAAAGCGCCGTCTCATCGACGCGACCACCGGATTCAAATATTACGGGTTGCCTGTAAAGCCTGGACTGCCACTTCCAGGCAACTATTCTGGATTCGCTGGTACCCTTGCGACGGAACACATCCCAGCAAGCAACGCCTTCATGACTGGACTGCTCTGGTTCTTAATCTTGATCGCATGCGGTGTTGTCTCTGTACTCTCCCTGAAAGTTGTCCTCGAAGGCTTGAGTAGCATACGCATTGTCAAAAAGCACCACCTGGCCTTTTTCCGAAGCCATTACCTTGCGTTTACTCTGTCGACCATCCTGCGGACAATCTTCATCGGATTTTACATGCTGACATTCCTGGCCATGTTCCAGTTCTCCTACCTAGCTCTTTCTGGTCCTGTTGCAGTCGCTTGTGCCGCTTTCTTCGTCGTAGTATTTGGCATAGGCAGTATCGCCGCCTACGCTTGTTTCTCCAGACTTCGGATCGGCAAGTATGCCTCGGAACCCGATCGACTAAACGTAGTCAAACGAAGATTGCACAAGATCATTCCATGGTTCAGCATTTCCAGAAACAGCAAAAATCCGCGCTCCGAAGACGAGACCTACATCGGTTCAATTCCTTGGTGGACGATACACGCTACGGCGGATACCACACCAATCCATAATGACGAGCGGTACACAACAAAGTTTGGTTGGCTGGCCTCTCGCTACAGGAGGACTCGTTGGTGGTTCTTCGTCGTCTGGCTGTTCTACGAATTCGTTCGAGCATGCTTCCTTGCTGGCGCATCTACGCAGCCCTTGGTCCAGGTCTTCGGTCTGCTCGCCGTTGAGATTATCGCTTTTATCGCCTTCACTATCCTTCGACCTTTTGAAGGACAGCGGCTGAACGTTTTGGCCGTGTATCTTCTCGGCTTTAGCAAGATCACCACTACAGGTCTTTCGGCAGCCTTTGATACACGGTTCGGTATCGCTCGTATCCCTACAACCGTTATTGGCATCATCATAATCGTCATTCAAGGTCTCTTGACAGTGGCCGTGATGGTTTTGATCCTGATCGGCGCTGTCTCAAGCTACCTGTCCATGTTGCGGAACCGCGAACAAATGGCGCCGTTGAGCTGGAACCCGATGCGTGAGAAGTACTATGCGCATATCGATTTCGCAGTGCAAGACATTCCGCGACCCCGTGCGGTGTCGATCAACTCGATGCCAGAGTTACCGAAGACACCGTACTTTGAAGTAAGACATGTGAAGCGGATAGCCAAGGTCGAGGACGAGGATGACGAGTTCATGCGAGAGATGGACAGCGATCATGCGACGTCCGAAATCTTGCTGCCTGAGGAAAGTCACGATACTCCCACAGACCGGCCCACCCAACGGCACAGGAGTGCAACTCTCCAGTCGCAAGCATCTTACTCAAGTCTACCCAAGGCGGCTCGCCTGCATCGCCCCAACTGGAGCAGACACGGGTACAGCGATTCGATGAGTCCCGGACGCCACAGGGCTTTGAGCGAAGCTCATATGAAGACTCCCAAGCAAAGTCATGAGACGATCGATACGTATCCAAGTCCACTCGGCATTCATCCTGAGGGGCCCATGACTCCAGCTCTTTCTTCTTCGGCGCTCTCGGACGCAGGCAATGTCGCCACCCCGGATAAGGAAGCAACAAGTCGAATGAGATTAGTCTCACGATCGAGCTCGAGGCCCAGACTGGATACTAGGATCACCGAGGAGACTACTATACCTCCCGTTCCGAAGAACAAAAATGCAAACTGAGCCCAGAATCATACGGAGCAGTCATACCACCGACATCAACAGCAGCAGAGACCTATACGCCGAGTACATCCTCATGCAACAGCTTTCGATCAGCTTACCCAGTATGATACGACGGTATATGAAGACACGTCAACCAAGAAAAAAACCGAACAGGCCTGCAGCCTACATCAACCTGAAAACCTACGAGATAGGTGACCTGACGTCGGCGTATGCTCTTGACCTGTTCGGGGTCTTTCTTGTATGAGGTGAAGAGCCCAACGAATTCCCGTGAAACATCGCATCGATCATCGAACATCGCTTCGGCACATCTGTATTGGTCTTTCAACACAGCATCAGCAATGAATACCCATGATTCTTCGACAACAACCCATATACCCCCAGCAACAAGCAGACGGCATTCCCTTTCTATTCTCTTCAGCAACATGACGTTGGCTGTATCTGCATAGGCTTCGCTACGGGAGAAAGAACATCTCGGCGCTTGATTTAGGATGTTGGATACGGCATGTTTACGAAGTGTATGAATAACGAACAAAGCCGGATTGTAGCTAAACGAAGGCAGGAGTGGCAATGCGCATAATGGAACAATGGTGATGATGAAACACTGCGTCGTTGATGGTGGGCTATGCTACCTTTGATGAGGTTGGTGCATGCATGCGTGATGTGTGGTGTTGGCCGGTTAGACTCCACTTGTACCAACTTTTTCCCTCGAGCGTCGAGCGGCGGCCCGCTCCTTGTGCGCAGAAGTCCGATGTCAGACATTGCGACGGCGCGTCACCAGCCACACCACACCAGACCAAGCGACAACACCAGCGCTAAACCTTCTCACCGCAAACATGGGTGCAAAACAATAATTCCTGAAACGCCCATGAGCCATGTCGGCTCCCAGCCGCTCTACTTAATCTCTAATCTCCACGACAGAGGGACATGGAGATTGAAAGCAAGATTGCGGTTCTGGGCATCGAGGGTCCGATCCAAGATCGTGTTTTGGTGTTAATTCCGATGTGCCAGGTTAGCCGTGCTATTTCCAGCAAATGCCTTGGAAAGATGCCATGGCCTCCAAGCGATATGAGCATACGGTCGGGCAGTCTAGACCACGATTTTTACTTGCAGTTGCTTGGAAAGCCTAGCTCCCGCGGTACGGATGATTACATGGGTTTGCGAAAAGGTGGTGAGACGTTGAGACGAAAACCCATGTGGCCCGCGTGCCGTTGCCCTGTTTGCTGAGATTGCCTGACGGACTGATGCCAATATGGGTGGATGACCCACGCACGCGTGTTTGAGCTGTGGCGTCACCTCATCAGCGAGGCGAGAGAGCGGCTGGAGAAGAGGCAGCACGGGTTGGGTGGAGATTTGGAGCCGCTGTTGTTTGCAAGGATGCGGAAGAGAATTAGATGGGCCGCCACAGATGGCTACGTCACAGTTACGGACACGGACGATGCAGGCTGCACGACAGTTCTGGGAATGTTGCAACGGTGGAGCCATGCCGGATAAGAGCATCTGGGGTGATCAAATATGGGTGAATGATGGCTACAGGTGAGGAGAAGGAGGTGGGCGGGCAGGCGTGGTTGGCACGATAACGGTCGTCTGGCGTCGCACAATGTCGAGCAGCGGTAGTGTTGGCGCACCAAATCAGCAGCATGGGCTTATCAAAAGTCGGTCTACCTGCTTCGGGGGCTGCCATGGCAAAGGCATCGCGATCGTGAGAGGCGGGCGTTGCGTTACCCATGGGCCCAGCCACGCGCAGGCTGCGATCGCTACTGCATCAGGGCCGGGCAGTGACGTCGGCGCTCTTTAAGGTTGTGGCGCGCGACCCACACCCGACGTCGACGTCGCAGGGCCAACCCTGTTTTGCGCGACTGCTTTGAGCGCGTCCGCTGCCCATCCTTGCCGCATCGGGCGGCTTGGTTGGCGCAAACCTGACTTTTCCCGCTGACGTTGCGAGCTTGGCTATTTGCAGACGCAGCACAGTCACCTGCAGGAATGGAGTTTGAGTCGGGAAATTTCGTTACGCAGGCCAAAGATTGAGGTGAAGGATCTGGAGGACAAGGGGGCACGGACGCCGCGTGACGTAGCCGTTGTGCAAGGGCGGTCGTTGTTCCGGCGCCTGGCTCGCGGCTGCTTATAAGTGAGAGGGCTCAAAGCCCTTTGTTGTGATACCACACTCTCCCCAAACCATACCATCTACCAACGAACCTACGAACACTCGCCTCTCTACCTCGAGTCCTCCATCCACTACACCACCGAAGCCTTCACCAGAACAACACCGCTATCATGGGTGCCGTCGTCTCTTGCATCAAGTCGGTCGTACGTATCCCTCACTCACCTACTCATAGCGACCGTTCCTAACATTCTGTCTAGTTCCGCACCATCGGAAACTGCATCATGGCCATTGTCAACGCCATCGCTGCTGGTCTTAAGGCAATCATCAACGCCATCGTCTCCCTCTTCGGCATCATCATCAGCTGCCTCACCTGCGGACGCGGCGGCGGCCGAAAGAGGACAACGCATACTAGTAGAGTCTAGTGTGAACCCGTTTCCCACATGTCGCCGTACTGATCATTACTTCCCCTTGTGAAGGATGGCGCATGAGGAGATACGGGTACTACTAAGGCGCTATATCTACTACCCAACTACTACTACGACGACGAACGACGATCGGTCGACGGCCGTTACTTCTTCATTGCCTGGACCACATGACGATACGATACGTGTACAACACATCACCGCGTAGTCTTCGCAAAGTAACGGACGGAGCGCGATTGTCTCTTTTCGGACGAGAGAGTGTGGATGTTTATACCCTTTACTATACCCCCGGTATGGGGCAAGGAAGACGGATGCGGTAATGAACGAAACAGCAAGCATGGAGTTTGAGCGAACACTTTTTCCTTTTGTTTTGTACAGTCTGAGAGAGATGGATGCCAAAGGGTCGTGGAGAGGAAATCATTCTTGATCGATCACGGACCTGTCGCATAGATACCCCCAGCTTTCAATCAGACTTACTATAATACCCACTCAACCGTCTTCTTCTGGTGACTGCTTCTTTTTCATTGTTGACGCCCTGACCCGTTACTCAAGGTAACCACAGGTTGCCCCCATCAACATTATCCAAAGACGCTTTACTTGCCTACCACAGCCTACTGCAGTATCGGCTCCCCAATTTACCCTTCGTCACCATGGTTGCCCTGTTGCATTTGCATTGCAGGACGTCGACAACGCAGATGGTGGAAACAATAGCGTCTGCGCCACACATGCGTAGTGCATGCGCTTGCATGACGCCGTTGAAACGCTGTTAGCACGCTACAGGAACTTTCCTAAACTAAGACCACTTCAGCACTAAACCTGAACATCTGACTCTCATGCGTTGAAGGAACTCGACAATGCGAATCTGCTGATGTCGATATGGATGTTGTTGCTGACGACGTCGATGTCATTCTAGGTGTCGCCGTATACAAGGAAAAAGCTGAAAAGTTGCGCTGCTGTATACGTTGATACGAAAACTAACATTATCCCAGTATGACGGTAATGTAGACTTCTGAGGTGGGTGTTGAAATCTTTTGGTCCGTGGTGCTCATCAAGCCAATGAAGGAAGACAACATCAGGATATGTTTGTCTCGTTGCTCAGACAAAATCTCCAAGTAAAAATAGTGAGTTTGATAACTTTCATATCGTCAAAGATGTCGCGACCACATTTCGGGATGTCAAACATTTCCCTCACTATTGCGACACCAAAACTCAATCACATCTCTCTCACTTACGCCATTCTCAAACCACCAACTCTACACAACAATCCCTCCTCGCACCCCACCCCACAAACGCAATTCCCAAAATGGACGCAGCAATGTTCCCGCAACTCGCCTTCATAGTCTTCCTCGCCCTCATGGTCATTCTGATCATCTTCTATTCCATCACATCCTTCTATATCCCCGCCATCAACGACCTCATCATCTCCGTATTCAAGCACATGCGACTGGCTCAACGTCAAGAAGCCCGGAACGCGCGAGACGCCAACAAAGGACATGAAGGCTGGATCACAGATGGTATGCACCCGATGTACACTATCCACAGCTGAAAGACTGACATCTCGTGTAGGTATGAGCGGAGACATCCATTCGGCCTTACATATTGGTAGCGGTGGGACACAGAATGCTCCGATCTGGATTTCGGTCTCGAATACTGATGGTGTGCCTGTGACTCAGCGTGGCGTAAGACGGGAAAGTCGACAACAGGTATGTGGGCGCGGTGAAACTCGCGGTTCCTCAGGTTGACTGACGTGTAGAGACTGACGCGTAGAAGTGAGATGCTGGTCGGTAGCACGAGTATGCTTGGGTGATGGGGGATGTATAGATGGCTTGGCGTATATACCGCGACGCAGGGGAGGGTTAGAGATGAGGAGAGACTAAGTAGCGTATTTGTCTTCAACGTGCCATGTAGACGACAAGACTCATGATCGCGACAAAGACGTCGACGTATACATACTTGCAGAGGTATACAACGCAAGGATATCAATACACCATCCTCATCATTCTCTCGTACCAACCACTCATCTCCCCTCCTCCTATCATGCCTACCCACCCCACCGCATAAACCCAAAAACAGCATTCAGCACAACCCCCATAACAACAGCAACCTGTCTCCTCCTCGTCCAAACCCCTTCCTCCCTAAACCCCCACACCAAACTTCCCAGCGGAAAGAAGAAGCCCGTCAGATACCCATACAACATATCATCCAACCCGCCTTCTTCCACCGCAAACCCCGCGCCCCAGCCCGCATC